AAACTAAATTAAACTCTTTTAATAAATCAATTGGGTCCCACTCTCCAATAAGGAGATATACCCCAACAGGATGTGATGTTTGTAAGAGAAAAAATGAAATGATTATGAGATTGGATGTGATATTTTGTTTAGATGTATTTTTTTTGATTTTACAAAAAATTTATCTTTTTGTGAAAAAAATCAAAAAACACCCAAGTCTTAAACTTTCCAAACACCGAACAAATTGCAAGAGAAACAATACAACAACCAGAGCAGGCTTTGGGTACAACTCACCAAATTCGTCGCTTTGGTCCCAAAAAAAATTAATTAAAAATAAATTTCAATTTTTTTTAATTATTACATTAGATTATAAATAAAAAAAATATCTTATTAAAATTTAAAAAGTCTCAATAAAATTTGATTATAATTTAAAATTAATAGATGGTTGATATAATAAATTATTTAAAACTAATCTATAATTATTTTTTATTAAAAGAAATCAAAAAATTTATTGATATGATAAATTATTTGAAATTATTGAATAGTTATATTTTAATGTATGATTATATATAGAATAAGATTGATTATATTACTTGTTACTCTTTTTAAATTAAAGTTAATTAAATTTTACCTTTTTTAACTATGTCAAATGAAAGATTATATGAATTAACAATTTTATCTATCAAAAATGATTTAACTTATAAGTTGAATTATGTGAATTAGATTAGTAATTTTATAATTAAAAATGCTAGAAGAACAATATTTAAGTATTTTTGTTATGGTTTATTTACTTTTGTGTGATACTTTAATTTAGATTATTTTAATCATTTTCTTAAAATTAAACTTTAATGTATATTTATATAAATTTTAATGGGAATTTATTGATAAGTCCAATTTAGAAGTGTTTTAACCTAAGAAGTTCATGAAGGAATTTTTTAACTCATTTAGGCCTCGTTTGGCAAAAGGCTATTTTAGCCAATTAGCCAAAAAGTTACTAAATTAGCCAAAAAGCCAACAACCTATACCAAAAAGTCAAAGATTCTCTTTTCTCTCTACTTTTTGCACATCTTTTCGTAATTAGCCAAAAAGTCATCCCAAACATACAAGTTTTTTTTACCTACCTTTTTAGCCAAATAGCCAAAAAGTTACTAAATTAGCCTGTTCCCAAACGATATAGTTTTATTTCATAAAGTCCATTTTCTTGATTTACACTATTTTCTTGGACACTTATGCCCTTATATTTAATTTTGATACCCTTATAAATATTTTTTGAACGATTAGCAATTTAATGATGTGAACATTCATATTTTAAAATTCACATTGGTAGGAATGTAAAATTGGCCCGTGGGCGGCTCGAAACCCGGCCGCGAGCCGGGGCGGGCCGGCCCGTTGACAATGTGAATATTCACATTGACATATTAACATTCACATTAATAGAAGTGTAAAATTGACCCCCGTCCCGTGGCGGCGCGAAACCCGCACGAGACCCATGGCCGGCCCGGAGCGGTCCCAGTTCGGCCCGTCGACAATGTGAATATTCACATTGACATGTTAACATTCACATTGATAAGAGCATAAAATTGGGCCGCGGCTCATGGGCGGCCAAAAGCCCGCCCGCCACCCGGGGCGGGCCCGGGCTGTCCCGTTGACAATGTGAATATTCATATTGACATGTTAACATTCACATTGGTAGGAGTATAAAATTAGCCCGCGCCTCGTGGCTGCCCAAAACCCGCTCACGGCCCGTGGGGGGCTCGGCCCGGCCTGTTGACAATGTGAATGTTCACATTGACATGTTAACATTCACATTGATAAGAGTATAAAACTGGACAGTAGCCCAGGGCGGGCCCAACCCGGCCCGGCCCGGCCCGTTGACAATGCGAATATTCACATTGACATGTTAACATTCACATTAATAGGAGTGTAAAATTGGCCCCCGTCCCGTGACGGCGCGAAACTCGCCGCGGCCCATGGGCGGCCCGGGGCGGGCCCGGTCCGGCCCATTGACAATGTGAATATTCACATTGACATGTTAACATTCACATTGATAAGAGTGTAAAATTGGCCCGCAGCCCGTGGGCGGCCCGAAGCCCGATCGCAGCCCGAGGTGGGCTTTCCTCGACTCGTGACAATGTGAATATTCATATTGACATGTTAACATGCACATTGATAGGAGTGTAAAATTAGCCCGCGCCCCGTGGCTGCCCAAAACCCGCCTACGGCCCGTGGGTGGCCCGGGGGGGCCCGGCCCGGCCTGTTGACAATGTGAATATTTACATTGACATGTTAACATTCACATTGATAAGTGTGTACAATTGGCCCGTGACCCGTGTGCTGCTCGAAGCCTGACCTCAGGCCGGGGCGGGCCCGGCTCGTTGACAATATGAATATTCACATTGACATGTTAACATTCACATTGATAGGAGTGTAAAATTGGCCCGCAGCCCGTGGGCGGCTCGAAGCCTGATCGCAGCCCGAGGCCGGCTTGGCCCGACCCGTGACAATGTGAATATTCACATTGACATGTTAACATTAATATTGATAGGAGTGTAAAATTTGTCCGCTGCCCGAAGCTCGCCCGCGGCCCGGGGTAGGCCCGGACCCAAACCTGGGCCGCCCGTGGGACGCGAGTCAATTTTACACTCTTATCAATGTTAATGTTAACATGTCAATGTGAATATTCACATTATCAACAGGCCGGGCCGGGCCCGCCTCGGGCCGCCCACGGGCTGTGAGCGTATTTCGGGCAGCCACGGGGCACGGGCTAATGTTACACTCTTATCAATGTGAATGTTAATATGTCAATATGAATATTCACGTTGTCAACGGGCCGGCTTCGGCTGCTCACGGTCACGGGCCAATTTTACACTCTTATCAAGTTAATGTTAAAATTCAATGTGAAAATTCACATTGTCAATTAGCCGGGCCGGCCTGCCCTGGCAGCGGGCGGGTTTCGGGCCACCCACGGGCACGGGCCAATTTACACTCTTCAATGTGAATGTTAAATATGTCAATGTGTATTTCACATTGTCAACGGGCCGGACCGGCTCGCCCCGCGCCGCCCACGGGCTTCGTGCCACCCATGGCACGCGAGTCAATTTTACACTGTTATCAATGTGAATGTTAACATGTCAATGTGAATATTCACATGTCAACAGCCGCCGGGCCCACCCGGGCCGTCCACGGGCAGTGGGCTAGTTTCGAGCAGCCACGGGCCGCGGCTAAATTTTTATACATCTATCAATGGAATGTTAACATGTCAATGTGAATATCTACATTATCAACGGGTCGGCCGGGCCCGCCCAGGGCAGCCCACGACTTGCGGCGGTTTCGGTCGGCCACAGGCCACGGGCTAATTTTACGTCTTATCAATGTGAATTTAACATTGATAACATTCACATTGTCAACGGGCCGGGCCGGGCCCAGGGCCCCCGACCCGGGCCGGGCTGCCCACGGTCATGGTCAATTACACTCTTGTCAATGTTATTGTAATGTTAATATTGTCAATGTGAATATTCACATTGTGAACGGACGGTCTGGGCTCCGCCCGGGCGCGGCTGGTTTCGGCCGCCCACGGCCGTACAGGCCAATTTTTACACTACTTCAATAGTGAACGTAACCTTGTCAATGTGAATATTCATATTATCAACGGGCCGGGTCGGGCCTATTTTTTTGGCTTGTGGGTCGGCCCGGCCCGACTCGAATTTTTCCAGGCACCCATGAGGATTGATATGGGCCGGTCCCCTACACATTGACGATATAAACATTTATATTGACGGTGTGAACATTCACATTAAGGGTATTTTGGTAATTATGTCACCCATAGGACTTATTGAAACATAAGAAAATAATGTGAACTAAATGGAACATAAGTAGATGAAAAGGATATTTTGGTCTTCTTATCTCAAATTGGACCTAATGGAATAGTCAAAAAGAATATGGATTGGATGGAATAAAGCTCTTAGAAAATGGATTTATCAAAAAAGCTCCCAATTTTAATACATATATATTGAAAATAATGAATACTGTCAAATATAAAAAAAAAAAAAAATTAGACACATAAATTTATTTTTTTTAAATATGTACGAAAACCCTCCCTGGGTTGAAAGTTGGCTTTTAGATCCTGAAAAAATGGGAGCCGAGTTGACAACAACTAAGCCTTGCTCTATCTAAAAGAAAACAATTATGCTTTATTTGAACGGATTAGATAAGGAAACATTATAATCTATCGGCCTTTTAATTTTGGGATGTATAATCTTTAGATTATTTAGTTAAAAATGATGTGTATTACATATTTAATTAGTTATGGGATTAGATATTAAGAAATAATTATTCTCTTCAATCTTAGGTTTGTTTGAAATATTATAAAAAAGACTATTTTGTTATTTTGAATTATTTACTAAATAATGGTAATAGTAAAATCTGACTTATAAATTTTATTTTATTTATTGACTAGAACTTTTAAAAAATTAAATAAATAAAATATTAATAAAAATTAAATAAATTTATTTTATTTTTTAGTTGAGACTTTTAAATTTTATTTTATTTTACTAAGTACCATACATAATAAAACCAAAAAATTTGTCTATGTAATAATAATAATAATAAATTAAATCTTTATTCCACCCTTTGAAAATAAATAAATTTTTATCCTATCATTTAAAAACACAATTAAAAAAAATAATCAAAATACATCTACTTTTGGGAACAAAAGTGACTTTTTACAAGTAAATCGAATTACATCATTTGTATCTCACCTCCCCCAATAAAATACAACAATCTCACATATGAAAGATATGAAATCCAATTGAATTCTTAAGTCCTGTTTAGTTAAGAGATTTAAGAATAAATTTAAAAATATATATATATATATATATAAAATGTGAATAAAATATATTTAGATTTTCCTTAATTTCACACACACATATATATATATATATATATATATTTTCTTTCAAAATCTCTTTTCAAATCCACTAAATTTTCGATCAAACAATAAACTCCTCAATAAATAGACATGAAATCCAATCACCCGCGACAATCCCTCCAAACAAAGGCACCCTCACAGTCTTGGCATTACAGAGAAGAAGAGGTGGAGAAGATAGAGCATATAAGAGCATAAGCGCGAAAGGCATAAACATGCACGTAGCAGGGACAGGTGAAGGACCAGCAGTCCTTTTTCTTCACGGCTTCCCTGAGCTATGGTACTCATGGCGCCACCAGATGCTCTCTCTCTCCTCCTCCAGTTAACGAGCAATCGCCCCCGATCTCCGTGGCTACGGCGACACCGATACTCCTCCTTCCGCCACCAGCTACACCGTCCTTCACATCATCGGCGATCTCGTCTCCCTCCTCGACGCCTTGGATCTCCACCAGATCTTCCTCGTCGGTCACGATTGGGGCGCCATTATCGCCTAGGCCTTCTGCTTGCACCGCCCTGACCGAACCAAAGCTCTTGTCAACATAAGCGTTCCTTTTCAACCCAGGCATCCTTCCTTTAAACCTCTCCAATCTCTCCGAGCTCTGTTTGGCGACGATTACTATATGTGCAGATTTCAGGTGATTGTTATATGCTTCTTCTTTTCTTTTTTCTTTTTCTGGTGTAAAGTCGTTGGTAATATATGAGTGACATTAATCTCTCCGAGCTCCGTTTGGTGATATGATTATCATATGAATTTTTGTGTAAAATTGTTGATAATGAGTGTTGACTTCATCTCCAATCTTGCGAGCTCTGTTTGGTGATGATTATTATATGAATTTTTTGTGTACAATTGTTGATAATGAGTGTTGACTTCATCCCCAATCTCTCGAGCTCTGTTTGCTGATGATTATTATATGATTTTTTTTTTTGTGTAAAATCGTTGATGAATTTGAGTATAGATTAACAATTGGTAATGATTATTGTTTGTGTGAAATTGTTGATGATGAGTATTGATTAATGATGGATTGATCAGTGATTTTATGTAACAATCCTCATTTTTGACTTGGTCATACTTGTATACATTTGTGGATGATCTTGTGTTAATATGTGCATTTGCAAATCTTGTCTTGTTTTGCTTGAATGATTGCTTGCACGCTTTGTTCTTGTCTGGTGTGTTGCCGAGGTCATCTTGAGCCTAGACACCTTTGAAATCTTTATCGCTTAAAACTATCTTGGAACCCCTTTGGTTGGCCTCCATCTTCACCCTGGCATATTGGCCGAGATGTCACCTTCTAGGTCGAGGTGTGCGTCGCCTAGGCCTAGATGTGCATCATCTGGGCCGAGATGTTAATATCTAGGCGTTCTAGATCCTTGATCCTCGCGTGAGTGATTTTGTTCCTGGAATGGTATGACCTAGACCGAGGTGTGGCACATCTAGGCCAAGGTCTGGCACAGTTTAGTCAAGTGTTGTCCTTCCAAGTCGATGTCCTTGCCCCTTGATTGCCGTAGTCTTGTTGTTAGCCGATGTCGTTACTTGCCGGTGTGTTCTTGCCGCCTAGCTTGTTGAGTACACTTTGTTTTGGTCTTGTCTTGTCAAGTCAGTCACCTTTTTGAGTTGAGCGAATTGGCCGATGCCACGTGTCCCGACAGAGGGATTAAGTCAGTGTTTGTCGTGTGAGGCATATCATTTGTATCAATCTTGCCTTTTTAGAGAGAGAAGCTCTAGTTAGAAGGAGGAGAAGTTTGAGCTAGAGAGGGGGGCTTCCAAGCTTGATCGTTGGAGCTTGAACCGTTAGATTCGAGTTTTGAGGTTAGAATCGTAACCTATTCTTGTTGTGCTTATTAATCATCTAGCTGCATTGCACGATCAAACCTGTTCCGCACGCCATTCATCGATTTAAAGTTGGTTTTAGAAAGAGAAAATGGTTTTCATGCGTTTTTGAAGAAAAACCTCGTTTGATCCGAAAGTTTGCATTAAAGCTCATGTTTTTGTGTTTGTTTTGATAAGAACCTTTAGTGTGGGTACCCAGATCCATGTTTTTGAATTCATAGCATGAAGTCTCAGCTGTTGTAATAGCAAGTTTCGATCTTTGCATTCATCTCCCTCATGTTCATGTTTTTCAAGTTCTTCATGCTCTTGTTCTTCATGTCTATCAAGAGGGAAACCCAGATTTTTCCTGACTACGCTTTTGAATGTGGCCGTTGGGACCACACCTCGGCGAGAAGGTGTGGGATCTTGGCCAAGTCTTGGTAGTTGCCCGGCGTGTTTTTCCAAAGATAAGAAACTGTGTTTCGATTTGATTGACTTAGTTCTTCAAGTTCTTCATGCTCTTGTTCTTCATGTCTATCAAGAGGGAAACCCAGATTTTTCCCGACTACGCTTTTGAATGTGGCCGTTAGGATCACACCTCAGCGAGAAGGTGTGGGACCTCGGCCAAGTCCTGGTAGTTGCCCAGCGTGTTTTTCCAAAGATAAGAAACTGTGTTTCGATTTGATTGACTTAGTTTTTTTTGAAGAATGCTGAGGTCATTTGCATGTGTGCTAGACTTGTTTTGAGTAGTGCATTCAATGGACTTTGCCATGTGTTTGTCAGGACTTGGACTTGCCTTGACCCCGTCGTTTGAAGAACTAGGTGAGTGGTATTTTTAATAAAGCTATGTTATATGTTAAAGACTTTGCTTTGCTTTGCTTTGTTTTGAAAGTGTTTGTTAAGCATGAATAATTGTCCTTGTTTTGTATACCAAGTATGACCTTGTCTCGATGACCTTCTTGGAAAGTCCCTTGTGCCAGACGACTCTAAACTTTCGCAGCACATCTTGTTTTGAAAGTCCCTTGTGCTGGTGGACTCTAAACTTTCGCAGCACCCTTGATTTGTACTCTAGTGTTAAAGGGCTACGGGCCTTTGTAACATAGGTCCCTCGTGCTGGAAGACTCTAAACTTTCGCAGCACATCTTGTCTTGAAAGTCCCTTGTGCTAGAGGACTTTAAACTTTTGTAGCGCCCTTGGTTGAGATGCCTCTTTTGCTTTGTCATGATTTGCCACAGACGGTTTACCGCGTGGACCTGTTGCCGAAATGTTGTCATTTGTGGTATATGATGCTAGCAAGTATCCCTTGGAACTTTGAAGATTTGTTTGATGGGCGAGGTCCATTCCTTGTTATATATAGAGTTTGTCTTGTATTGTTTTGAAAGGATTTCGGCTATTATTCATGCAAACCCCTTTATTATTTATACCATTCACTGAGTATTCAAGCTCACCATCTCTATATATATGTAGGTGATGAACAAGAAGGCGGTGACGCCTAGATGTGATTTCTGGAGCTTGTTTTGGGTCTTGATTATGTCGGCTTAACCTGCATTTATATCGGTAGTCTTGAAAATCATGCTTCTCGACTTGTAATATTTGTATTTCGAACACGTCGGCCGAGAAGCCTTTTGATCAAGATGTATGTTTTTGTATGATTGTTATGTCGGCAAAGAAGATGTCGGCTACCTGGCAGACTGTGTACTTAAGCCTGTAATTCGTACAATTTGTTTATGTCGGCTTGTGGAGTCCTTTGCTAATATGAAAAATATAACTTGCACTTTGCTTGTTTGTTATTAAGTTATAACCCATATGTGAATGGTTGTTATCTCATTTGACTTATGCATAGCTCTTATGGACCACTTGTATTCTAAATTTTGCTTCCGCACTTGAGAGCCCCATGTATCTATACTTTGTATGTGTGTGAATTTTGTAAGATTGGCCTTCGGTAATCTCGGATTACTGGCCATCACGGCACCAAACTACTAGGGGCGGTTTGGGGTCGTGACAGAATGGTATCAGAGCACATGTTCCTTAGTTTACATTGTTCACACACTTTGAGTCCTAAAGAGCATAGGATTTCCCCTTAGAAGGAAGTTAGAATTGCATCATATTGCTTGCTATGTGAACAAGTTGTACATTGTCCCGACATGCTTAACTGTTACTCGCCTACGCGATTATTTGCTCATTTTGTTTTCAAAGCCACATTTTTGCATACAACTAGCATCATGAGGAGAGGTAGACCTCCAGTTGGCCGAGATCAGTCGGAGGACAGAATAGACAGGCTGGAGAGGCTAGTTGAAGGTTTGGCCCGCGAGTTAAGGCAGACAAGACAGCAGTACGCTAGTGCTACATCGACTCAGGCCGAGCAGACAAAAGGCCGGAATGCAGTTCCACCTCCACCTCCTCCAGTACCACAAGTGCCCCCACAGCCAGCTTTATATGGGGACGGCACGATAGCTCTGATCAGGGAGTTCAAGAAAATGAAGCCACCGAGATTCCAAGGGGGTATAGAACCGATGAAGGCCGAAGCTTGGGTTTTGGAGATGGAAAAGCTATTCGAGATCTTTCCCAGCATTGACACCCAAAAGGTGACATTAGCAGCTTTTACACTAGGTGACGACGCCCGCAGATGGTGGATGATGGTTCGAGAAAGCAATCCAGACTTGACCTGGACCCGATTTTTAGAATTGTTCTACACCAAGCATTTTCCCTTAAGTGTTCGGAATCGCAAGGCTACCGAATTTCAGACTCTTACGTAAGGCAGTAGAACAGTAGCTGAATATGACCGTGCCTTTACAGAGTTGGCAAGGTACGCACCCCATATGGTCAATGAAGAATATATGAAGGCTAAGAAGTTTGAAAGTGGACTCTGTGGACCGATACAAGACCGGGTCAACATGCTCAACATGCCGACTTATGTCGGAGTGTTGGACAAAGCTATTCTGGCCGAAGCCAACTTGAACAGATACCAGGGTTCGGGAGAGAACCAGAGAAAAAGGCAGAGTTATGACAATCGCCGAGCGCAGTTTGGTACCAAGAAGAAAGCGAACGTCGGCAGTTCAAGCAACCCAAGACAAGAGAGTGGTACTAAGCCGATATGTTCCAGTTGTGGGAAGCCACATTTCGGGGTCTGTCGTCAAGCGTCTGGGGCTTGTTACAAATGTGGTGAAGTAGGTCATTTTGTGAGGGTTTGTCCAAAAATGAAGGCTGGGGAAAGTAAGAAAGATGAGAATACTTCGGGCTCCGTGTAGAAAGGTAACGCTGGGAAAGGACCGATGAGACAAGGTAGAGTTTTTGCACTGGTACCAGGGGACACTCAAAATGCTGAGGCGATGGTGTCAGGTACACTTTCAATTTGCTCTCAAAATGCATATGTATTGATTGATTCGGGTTCTACGCATTCATTCATTTCTGCTAAGTTTGCCGAGAAGATTAATAGGAAACTAGAACCCCTTGATTATGTATTATTTGTATCTACTCTATCCGGGAGATCTATGAATGTTGCATTTATCTATCAAGCATGTGTTATTGTGATTGGAAATGTTGAACTGTTAGCTGACTTAATGCCATTGGACATAACTCATTTTGATATTATTTTGGGAATGGATTGGTTAGTGGCAAACCACGCGTCCATAAATTGTGTTTCAAAGAGTGTTACGTTAAAACCCCCAAACGATTCGGGTTCTACGCATTCATTCGTTTCTGCTAAGTTTGCCGAGAAGATTAATAGGAAACTAGAACCCCTTGATTATGTATTATCTGTATCTACTCTATCTGGGAGATCTATGAATGTTGCATTCATCTATCAAGCATGTGTTGTTGTGATTGGAAATGTTGAACTGTTAGCTAACTTAATGCCATTGGACATAACTCATTTTGATGTTATTTTGGGAATGGATTGGTTAGTGGCAAATCATGCGTCCATAAATTGTGTTTCAAAGAGTGTTACGTTAAAACCCCCAAACCTAGCCGAGGTCACGTTTCAGGGAAAAGGAGTAGTGTCCCCACCTTACTTAATTTCATCCATGAAAGCCTATAGATTGATCCAAAAAGGGTGTCCAGGTTATCTGTGTAGCATATTAAGTAATTTGAATGGAAGCGTTGAGTTAGCCGACGTCCCAGTGGTTAGTGAATTCCCCGACATCTTTCCAAATGATTTGCCTGGTCACTTAGTTGATAAAGAGGTAGAGTTTAAGGTTGACATCATGCCGGGAACCCAGCCCATCTCTAAAACACCCTATAGGATGGCTCCCGCCGAGTTTAAGGAATTGAAACTTCAACTACAAGAGTTGCTAGATAAGGGTTTTATTAGGCCGAGCACTTCACCTTGGGGGGCACCCGTCTTGTTTGTTAAGAAGAAGGATGGCATACTCCGTCTTTGTATTGACTACCGGGAACTGAATAAGGTAACCATTAAGAATAAGTACCCGTTGCCGAGGATAGACGATTTGTTCGATCAGTCGCAAGGAGCACGAGTCTTTTCCAAAATTGACCTTAGATCGGGCTACCATCAGCTTAAAGTCAAAGCCGAGGATGTTGAGAAGACCGCTTTTCGGACGAGGTATGACCACTACGAGTTTTTAGTGATGCCTTTTGGAGTGACCAATGCCCCTGCAGCCTTTATGGATTTGATGAATAGAGTCTTTAAGCCATACCTAGATGAGTTTGTGGTAGTCTTCATCGATGACATATTGATCTACTCTAAGAGTAAAGCCGAACACGAGGAGCATTTGAGTCTTACCTTACAGACTTTGAGGGATCGGAAATTGTATGCTAAATTTAACAAATGTGAGTTTTGGCTTTTCACTGTTTCATTTTTGGGGCATGTAATTGATGAGGAGGGTATTTCGGTCGATCCTAGTAAAATTGAAGCCGTGGTGAATTGGCCGAGACCGACTAATGTGTCCGAGGTTCGTAGTTTTCTGGGATTGGCTGGTTATTACAGAAAGTTCGTAAAGGATTTCTCAAGGATTGCAATTCCGTTGACCCAACTGACTAAGAAGGGAGTGGCTTACGAATGGACTAAGGATAGAGAAGCAGCATTCCAGGAGTTAAAGACGAGGTTAGTCGCAGCACAAATTCTTGTACTACCATCAGGTAATGAAGAGTTCCATGTCTACAGTGATACTTCGCATAAAGGTCTGGGTTGTGTATTAATGCAAAAAGGTAGGGTTATAGCATATGCCTTTCGCCAGTTAAAGCCACATGAAAATAACTACCCTACCCATGATCTAGAGTTAGCTGCCGTGGTATTTGCTTTGAAGATTTGCCGCCACTACTTGTATGGAGCTTCTTGTCAGATTTTTACAGATCATAAAAGTTTAAAGTACTTGTTCACTCAGAAGGAATTGAATATGAGGCAGAGAAGATGGCTTGAGTTGTTGAAAGATTACGACATGCGGATTCAATATCATCCAGGAAAAGCTAACACTGTAGCCGATGCTCTGAGCAAAAAGGTGGTTGGAAATTTGGCATGCCTAACCGCGATCTCAGTGGAGCCGACTATTGTTGAGGAGGTAAAGACAAGGCAAATGGAGCATGAATTCTTCAAGAAGGTAGCTGGTGAGATTGTCACAAAGCCGAGATCCGGGTACACTTTAGAAAATCAAATACTTAAGTTTGAAGGAAGGTTGCGTGTGGCCGATGTCCCAGAGTTGAAAAAGAAAATTTTGTAGGAGGCTCATGGTTCCAAGTTTGCTGTCCACCCCAGGAACACCAAGATGTATCAGGATGTGAAGCAGACGTTTTGGTGGCCAAATATGAAAGGAGAGATAGCCGAGTTCGTGTCCCAGTGTCTGTATTGTCAACAAGTAAAAGCAGAACATCAAAGGCCAGCAGGACTTCTTCAACCTTTGCCGATTCCTGAGTGGAAGTGGGAGCACAACTCCATGGACTTCGTGGTTGGTTTGCCGAAGACACAAAAGGGTATGGATTTGATTTGGGTTGTTGTGGATAGACTAACTAAGTCAGCGCACTTCTTGCCTGTCAAGACCACCTTCAACACCGATAGACTTGCTTCGTTGTATGTGAATGAGATTGTTAGACTTCATGGAGTGCCGATGTCAATTGTGTCAGACCGAGATCCGAAGTTGGTTTCCAGATTTTGGCAGAGCCTACAAAGAGCTTTCGGAGCCGAGTTGAGGTTTAGCACAGCTTTTCATCCCCAGACTGATGGGCAAACAGAGAGGACGATTCAGACACTTGAAGATATGCTTAGACTATGTGTATTGGACCTCCAAGGAAGTTGGGGAGTACATTTGCCTTTGGTGGAATTTACCTACAACAACAGCTACCAAGCTAGCATTGGCATGGCGCCGTATGAGGCACTGTATGGCAGAAAGTGCAGGTCACCAATATGTTGGACCGAGGTGGGAGACAAAGCTCTGTTTGGTCCCGAGTTAATTCAAGTAACAACCGAGAAGATTAAGCTCATTCAGCAAAGAATCAAAACCGCACAGAGTCGACAGAAGAGTTATGCCAACCAGAGAAGAAGAGAGTTAGAATTTGAAGTCGGGGACCACGTGTTCCTAAGAATTTCGCCGACGAAAAGAGTTACAAGATTTGGGAAGAAGGGTAAGTTAGCACCGCGTTACATCGGGCCTTTTGAAATCCTTGAGAAGATTAACCTCGCCGCCTACAGACTTGCTTTGCCGCCGGGATTGAGCCAAGTCCATAATGTATTTCATGTTTCGATGTTGAGGAAATATATTCGAGATCCGCTACATGTGATCGACTATTTCGGAATTGTAATTAATGAAGATTTAGGCTACGAAGAGAAGCCGATACGGATTTTCGATAGACAGGTGAGGCAGTTAAGAAACAAGTCGATACCCATGGTGAAAGTTGAATGGACGGAGCATTACGGGGAGGATGCTACATGGGAAATGGAAGAGGAAATGAAAGTCCTACATCCAGAATTGTTTTTGGAACAAGGTAACTCAAGTTTGGGACCAAACTTCCTTAAGGGGGGTAGGATGTAACAACCCTCATTTTTGACTTAGTCATACTTGTATACATTTGTAGATGATCTTGTGTTAATATGTGCATTTGCAAATCTTGTCTTGTTTTGCTTGAATGATTGCTTGCACGCTTTGTTCTTGTCTGGTGTGTTGCCGAGGTCATCTTGAGCCTAGACACCTTTGAAATCTTTATCACTTAGAACTATCTGGGAACCCCTTTGGTTGACCTCCATCTTCACCCTGGCATATTGGCCGAGATGTCACCTTCTAGGCCGAGGTGCGCGTCGCCTAGGCCCAGATGTGCATCATCTGGGCCGAGATGTTAATATCTAGGCGTTCTAGATCCTTGATCCTCGCGTGAGTGATTTTGTTCCTGGAATGGTATGACCTAGACCGAGGTGTGGCACATCTAGGCCAAGGTGTGGCACAGTTTAGTCAAGTGTTGTCCTTCCAAGCCGATGTCCTTGCCCCTTGATTGCCAGAGCCTTGTTGTTAGCCGATGTCGTTACTTGCCGGTGTGTTCTTGCCGCCTAGCTTGTTGAGTACACTTTGTCTTGGTCTTGTCTTGTCAAGTCAGTCACCTTTTTTAGTTGAGCGAATTGGCTGATGCCACGTGTCCCGACAGAGGGTGTCCCGATAGAGGGATTAAGTCAGTGTTTGTCGTGTGAGGCATATCATTTGTATCAATCTTGCCTTTTTAGAGAGAGAAGCTCTAGTTAGAAGGAGGAGAAGTTTGAGCTAGAGAGGGGGGCTTCCAAGCTTGATCGTTGGAGCTTGAACCGTTAGATTCGAGTTTTGAGGTTAGAATCGTAACCTGTTCTTGTTGTTTTTATTGATCATCTAGCTGCATTGCACGATCAAACCTGTTCCACACGCCATTCATCGATTTAAAGTTGGTTTCAGAAAGGGAAAACGGTTTTCATGTAATTTTGAAGAAAAGCCTCGTTTGATCCGAAAGTTTTCATTAAAGCTCATGTTTTTGTGTTTGTTTTGATAAGAACCTTGAGTGTGGGTACCCAGGTCCATGTTTTTGAATTCATAGCATAAAGTCTCAGCTGTTGTAATAGCAAGTTTCGATCTTTGCATTCATCTCCCTCATGTTCATGTTCTTCAAGTTCTTCATGCTCATGTTCTTCATGTTTATCAAGAGGGAAACCCAGATTTTTCCCGACTTCACTTTTGAATGTGGCCAGATCGAGAAGATGGTACAAGAGGCCGAAAAGTACAAGGCTGAGGATGAGGACCACAAGAAGAAAGTTGAGGCCAAGAATGCATTGGAAAACTATGCCTACAACATGAGGAACACCATCAAGGATGAGAAGATCAGTTCCAAGCTTGGCCCAGATGACCAGAAGAAGATTGAAGCTGCCATTGAGCAGGCAATTCAGTGGTTGGATGCGAACCAGCTTGCTGAGTCGGACGAGTTTGAGGACAAGATGAAGGAGCTGGAAGGCATCTGCAACCCCATCATTGCCAAGATGTACCAGGGTGCCGGTGGTGCTGCTATGGATGATGATGATGCTCCTCCTGCTGGTGGTAGTGGTGCTGGTCCCAAAATTGAGGAAGTTGACTAAGCTCTTCAGTTTGCGTGATGGCAGGTATGTGTAGAAAATAAGCGGAATAGGTTGAAGTCCGGCGGGCGGCTAAGGTGAGGTTGCCGCCCACCGGGGAAGCGAAAATACTAGGTTCTAAACCTGCTCTGATACCATGTTGAGATGCCTCTTTTGCTTTGTCTTGATTTGCCACGGACGGTTTACCGCGTGGACCTGTTGCCGAAATGTTGTCATTTGTGATATATGATGCTAGCAAGTATCCCTTGGAACTTTGAAGATTTGTTTGATGGGCGAGGTCCATTCCTTGTTATATATAGAGTTTGTCTTGTATTGTTTTGAAAGGATTTCGGCTATTATTCATGCAAACCCCTTTATTATTTATACCATTCACTGAGTATTTAAGCTCACCATCTCTATATATATGTAGGTGATGAACAAGAAGGCGGTGACGCCTAGATGTGATTTATGGAGCTTGTTTTGGGTCTTGATTATGTCGGCTTAACCTGCATTTATGTCGGCAGTCTTGAAAATCATGCTTCTCGACTTGTAATATTTGCATTTCGAACACGTCGGCTGAGAAGCCTTTTGATCAAGATGTATGTTTTTGTATGATTGTTATGTCGGCAAAGAAGATGTCGGCAACCTGGCAGACTGTGTACTTAAACCTGTAATTCGTACAATTTGTTTATGTCGGCTTGTGGAGCCCTTTGCTAATACGAAAAATATAACTTGCACTTTGCTTGTTTGTTATTAAGTTATAACCCATATGTGAATGGTTGCTATCTCATTTGACTTATGCACAGCTCTTATGGACCACTTGTATTCTAAATTTTGCTTCTGCACTTGAGAGCCCGATGCATCTATACTCTGTATGTGTGTGAATTTTGTAAGTTGGCCTTCGGTAATCTCGGATTGCTGGCCATCACGACACCAAACTACTAGGGGCGGTTTGGGGTCATGACACTTATGAGCAACATGATTCTTCTGCATGGCCTACAGATGGAGAGATAACAATTATGATTAAAACCATGCAAATAGATGTGTGAATTGGAAAGAAAAGCAAAGAGTGACATTTTAGGAACCTGGAGAGGTGGAGGAGAAATTTGCTAGCTGTGATACTGGGAAGATAATAAGTGCATTTCTTTCATCACGGGATACTCGTCCCCCTGTTTTGCCTAAAGAGTTGGATTTCAAGGCCATTTTTCAAACTCTGATTGCATTGCCTTCATGGTTGACTGAGGAAGACATCAATTACTATGCTGGAAAATTTAACTAGACAGGATTCACTGGAGGACTCAACTAGTATCGAGCTCTAGATCTGTACGTAAGCCTACTTTTTTTTAATATTTTGTTTGCAAGTTTAATTTGAGTGTGTGGATTTTTTTATTTGTGATTTAAGTTTATAATTCCTTTTCTTTTGTTCGTTTTATTTTTCATTCTCAAATTATTCGACAAATCCAATCTTTTTCACTTTTTTTCTTCTTTTTTTTCCTGGCATATCTTAAGCCTGTGTTTGAATCATGAATTTTAAAAAAAATTTCTCAAATTCATAGTCTGAATATAATCTAAATATTGTTAGAACACAAAATTGAAATTGATTTTTACTAGTTTGTGAACTTTTTATTATTTTCAAAAAAAAAAAATGTAGAAACCCCACATTTACTCCAACGTGACATAAGGTTGAATCTTGATTGGTTGAGAACTAAAAACTAAAGTTGTGATAGGACATGTTTTGGTAATTGCCATGGGCATTGTATTAGTTTTTAATGATGTATAAATTTATATATTATGTTTATATTGCTTGTTTAACATTCATTTTTATTTCTTAGTTGGTCATGTCTATGGGGTGTTATTTTTTTTTGGCAATCTCAACATTATTGTAGATAAATTTAAGAACAATCACTGCAACACAAACACATTTTAGTGACACCATACTAGTAGCATATTCTTAAAAAGTGTAACAAAAAAAATATTTGGTGGCATTTTTTAGAAAAATGTCATAGAACCACAAACATAAAAGGCTCTAGTGGCATTTCAATTAAAAAAAGTGTCACTTCACTACAATAAAAATGTCACTACAGCAAATTTACACTTTAGTGACACTACACTAGTGGCATGTTTTTAGAAAATGCCACAAAAATAAAAATTGGCATTAAATGTTTTTGAAAAATGCCATAGAACCACAAAACATAAAAGGCTCTAGTGGCATTTCAATAAAGAAATGTCACATCAATTTTATGACATTTTATAAAATCATGACACAAAAAATTATGTTCGTAACATTTACCAAATAATTTTCACTAAACTTTAGTTGCAATGGCATTTTTTAAAAAATGTCAGGACACTAGGTAGGTGTAAATTATTTTTTATGGCACTTAGGTGAAAAGCGTCATAAACAAATATTTTATAGCATTTTGAGAAAGCCAAAAACTTTCTAAGCTTATAATGGCATTTTTGAAAAAACAAAAAATGCCAAAATATTTTCGAAATTTTTAAAAGGCAGTAAATGATTAAAAATAAATAAATTAAACTTAATATACACTACAGGAAAAAGCACATTCGGCGACTAAATTTCCTGACAAAAAAAAATTTTGGTCGCTGACAGCTCAGCGACCAAAACAGCATTAGTTGTCAAAAGTAAAGCTTTTTGGCGACTAAACAATTTTAGTAGCCAAAAGTCTACAATTGGCGACTAAAATTAAATTTGGTCGCTGATTATATGGGTTTTAGTGACTAAAAATTTTTTAGTAGCCCAAAGTAAAGCTTTTTGGTGACTAAAAAAATTTAATAGCCAAAAATCTACAATTGGCGACTAAAAATAAGTTTGGTCACTGATTATATGGGTTTTACAGACTACAAAAATTTTAGTAGCCAAAAGTAAAGCTTTTTGGTGCAAAAAAAAAAAAAATAGTAGCCAAAAGTAATTGGCAACTAAAAAATAAGTTTAGTCGCCAAAAGTGGTCATTTTTAGCGCGGGAGAACTAAAATTCTAAGGCGGGAATTAAATTTTTTGGCGACCAAAATTTTTGAAGCTGAAAGTGCATCTTCGGCGACCAAATCCGATTTTGGTCGGCAAAAGTTAAGTTTTTTAGCAACTAAAAAACAATTAGTAGCCAAAAGTATAGAATTGGCGACTAAAAAAAAGTGGTCTTTCTTTTTATTTTTCTAGTAAATAGTTTATTATACATAAATTATTGTGATATCCCTGTTCCGTAATATGTTAATTGGTCCTTAACATGAATGTGATTATGTGTTTAATATTATTTTGTGTGCCATTATGTGAAAATATGTGGTTTTGAATTTCTATCTGTTCATCGTAGGAATATCTATTTGATTATCTGCATTGGAAATTAATTAAAAGCCTTATCGGCCACAGAACCCGAAATCGATTACGCCATTGTAATTAGCGTAATTTTTAGAGCCTACGGTGAAATTTAATTGAAAATTGATTCGAATAAAAATAATTAGATTCAGAACGATTAATTAAGTGCTCAATTATTTAATATTGGTAAATTGACTTAGTGGGGCTATGTAAGAAGCCATATACACTCAACCTCTCTCTTTTTGATTCATTTTGGCTGATTTTGGGCTCGTGAGTGTGAGAGAGCCGAATTAGAGAGAGAGAGTGTAGGAGATTGGGGTTTTGGTCTTGAGGCTTGGAGATTTTGGAAGATTACTCAAGAAATTGCTTTAGATTGAAAAGTTTGAGCCTCTAGGTAAGTAAATTTATGAGTTTAAGTTGTAATGTTGTGAATTCAAGTGATATGGTAGCTCATGGCAAGAAATTAAGTTGATTTTGTTGAATTGAAAGTCCATATGTGCATGCATGTGTGTAATTGCCATGAATTTGTATAGTTGAGTATGAAAAATATGATCCATGTAGAAATTTGGTTAGAACTCATGCTTGTGATCACCATTTGCACTATTTAAATTGAAATGGGAGTTATATTCCACATGCATGTACAAATTATGAGGAAATGAGTTTGAGATACATGGAATTGTTATCATGAAAGCAAGTTTGGTGTAATTTGGGACATTCATGTGTTTGATTCATGAAATTGAGCTTCATAATGTTGTAATTCGGTGTTTGTACCGTGTTAGTATATGTTTATGTGAAGTTTGAGCTATAATGTGCAAGAAATGCTGATTTGAATGTTAAATTCAAGCTCAAGAACATGTTCTGGATTTTTCATAATTTTGAGGTCCATAATTTTGAGGTCCGCTCAAGCGGGGAAACTGCCGCTCGAGCGTGAAATTTGTGCTCCTAGTATATTTTTGCAGACATGACATCCACTCGAGCATGGAAGTTCACGCTCGAGCAGGGAGCCATGTAGTGAGGCCTTTCGCTCGAACGCCATAATTCACGATCGAGCGTAAATTTGACATAACTAGTACTTTTGCAGACCTCATGGGTCCGCTCGAGCGGGGAAGTACACGCTCGAGCGGGGACCTTGTTTTTTGAAATTTTAAAAAGGCATTCTGTGTTTCGTTTTCTGTTCTCTTTCACTTCCAAGTATTCTTAGGCACACATTGAGCATTGTAATTGAATTAAAGGGATAAGAATAAAGCCTAAAGAGGAATATGTGAATTAAAGAACGTATTGAATTGTTTGTGACCCTTTTGTGTTCATGGAATGTGTAGGGTCGAGCTCCAGGGCAAACCAACCAACCGATCACTGTGAGTAATATCTTAACAGAGATATCTGAAATATGTTGTTGTCCAATTGCTTACATCTATGTAAGTTTTATAAGTTCATTGATTTGATTGGCAGACAATGTTTGCTATACCAAATGAGTGGGCCAGAGGCCAATCTGATCTAAATAATAGAATGAATGGGCCATAGGCCGTTTTGACATGAATGGATGGGCCGGAGGCCGTTTTGACATGAATGAATGGGCCGGAGGCCGTTTTGACATGAATGAATGGGCCGGAGGCCGTTTTGACATGAATGAATGGGCCAGGGAGTCCACTACTATTGCAGGTATGAAGTCTATGTGGAACAACAAAGGTTTTGGGAGAGTCAGCCTTGTGTCTCACGCACGAGACCCGTCTTCGCCCTTTTGTTATGTAATTATATTCTGTCGTGTTGGCGAAGACTTTGCATATGTTGTATATAGGCGTGATGGGTTGACTTAGACTTATATGATCCTGTATGTACAGAACCTTATGTAGTACATATTTTGTTGTGAGTTATTAATATGCATATGTATGGTTTGTTATGATGTGCCATGTAAGCACAGTTCTATGGATAAAATTTTAAATTGCTTCCGTTTGGCCCTTATTAACTCTGTTAAAATACGTTTGGTTTGGTTTAGGCCGTAGGTAATCTCATGTTTACTGGCCGGTTATGTCCTTCACCCATGGGGGCGGGTGCGGGTCATGATAGAGTGGTATCAGAGCACGAGTTAATAACTCACACACTTGTCCAAAAGAGCAATAAGCGTCTAGAAATGATCTAGGATGCATTCATGTGATAAGTATGAATTTTGAAGCATCGAGAATATGCCTAACTGTTTTGATATGAACGATTATGTGCAATAATTTTGTGAATTGCTTGCATTGCAATTGTTTGAATATGTGTGCTTCCTAGTATGTGCATACTTGTGTATCTTTTGTATAAAGTATAATGTAAGTTTAATCAGATGGTGAGAACAAGAGGTGATGAGATAGAGGAGTCCTCTACTGCCAGAATAGACAGAATGGAAAGACTGATACAGGAAATGGCAGAAACGTTGAGGCAACAACAGGAGTGGCAACAACAGTGGCAACAACCACACCCTCCACCTCCACCTCCGGCACCTCCCGTGCCAGATAATCAAAATGATGATCGGATAATAGCTCTCACCAAGGAATTCAAAAAGATGAAACCACCACAGTTCCATGGTGGATTAGATCCATTGAAAGCCGAAGCATGGGTCCTCGGCATTGAGAAACTGTTTGAAGTGTTCCCGTGTTCAGAGACACGGAAAGTACTTCTAGCCACTTTTATGCTAGAAGACGAGGTAAGAAGATAGTGGATATTAATGCGAGAAAATTATAAGGATGTTGACTAGGTGAAATTTCTAGAGATTTTCTACGACAAGTACTTCCCACAATGTGTTTGAGATAGGAAAGTAGTAGAGTTCATGGAACTTAGGCAAGACAGCATGACTGTAGCTGAGTATGAGGCCAAATTCACTGAATTGGCCAGGTTTGCACCACACGTGA